GCCCGCCCTTGCCAGGATTCACCTCCCCGGGCCCTTCAGCGCACACGGCCCCTCGCGTCCCCTCCCCTCGCACACAGGCCAGGGCTGGGGCCTGGGCATCCCCATCCCATGGCCCCGGAGCCATGCCAAGAGCAACTGCCGAACTGCCCGAGCAGGGGAGGTTGGGCTGGGATACCCAGCTCGGGGGAGGCGTTAGTGAGCACCGAACACCAGCCAGTGAAGGGCTTGGGATTCTCCGGGGTCAGCAGCCGCACACTTCACTCCTGACCCTCCCGGGCAGCCCCCTTACCCTGAGTGTAAGCTCCGAGAGTGGAAGGCTGGGGCCAGGGGTGGGCATCACTGGGGGGACTGGGGGTCCCAAGGGGAGGGCCAGCACCCAGAAGCACTGGTGACAGAGACCAGGTCAGAGCCGGTGAGGCTCTCGATCTCCACCCTTGGCACCCACCCAGGGGTCCTTCCCCCGCTTTGGAACCCAAGATTCTGGGGCTCCAGCTTTTTCTCCGGGTGTGGGGAAGGGGTCACCATGCAGGACTTTCATTTATTTGTTCAGAAACTATTAAGTACCCGACTGTGTGCCAAGCACTGAGCTGTCTGTGGGGTATTTGGAGGACGCGGACCCTTTTCTGAGACTCTCAAGGTGTCCAGGGTGCTGGTCTGCTGTTGCCACAGGGCACAGACTTGTGTGGACTAAGCAAGGGAAGGCGAGAGCCGAGGACAAGAGGACTCACCATAAGCGGAATCCCCGGGGCCAGACTGACTCCCAGTGGCTCCATCTATGACGAAGGGAGAGAGAGGGGGAAGATGGGGGCAGGAGGAAGCTTCCTGAAGAACTGTGGGGGTGACTGTGCCACAGAAGGGGAGAAGGACAAAAGTCCAGGCCTGGGGTGGTGTCTGTGGCTATCACGGCCATGTGCAGCTTTGCGCTTCTGTTTACCTTGGCAGTCACCATGCTCCACGGCTTCCTGGTTCCCAGCCCGGTCCGCATCAGCCCTAGGAGGAAGTGGAGGTGGCTTGGTGCAGTCCTACACCTGATCTCCATCCCTCACCCTAGCTCTGAGCCTCCTCCCTTAGTGGTGGGAACTTCCTCAGGAGCTCCAGGACCCCTCACTCACCCGCCAGGACCCCTGATATCCACACAGCCTCTGGAGCTATGCCATCCGCAGTAAGGGTCCCGTGAAGCCAGGCAGCTCCTAGGGAAGACTGAGTCATGCGGGGCTGGAACCCCCTCCATCCTGTCACCCACCATTCTGCGGCTTCTCCTACTCTCACCCTGGCTGCCAGGAGGCTTCCAGTCCCAGATTTCTGTCCCATCCACCCTAACCTCTACTCCAGACCCCCCTGACTGCTGCCCCTTCAGAATGCTTGAGCTACTCTGTGCCCCCTACATTACCCTGCCACCCCAGGATGTGTGTTTCTGTGCTTCTGCTGGCCCAGGGAGCTTGTCTAGGCAGAGCCTGGCCTCAGGCCCCTCTCACCTCCGACAGGCTCCATGCCGGCCGCACCGGCTCAGAGGGAGGTAGACGATACAGCCAGAAAAAGCCACAAAGAGCCTGTGACCCTCGGTGTCCAGCTCCAGGCCTATGATCCGCCGCGCCATCTGGGCCGCCCGCTTCCCACTGCACCTAGAGTAAGGCCAAGGAATTAGAGATGGGCAGGCGAGGCTGTCTTTTCTGGGGTGAAGCACAGAAAGTGGGGGAGACACAAAAACTGAGCACAACCCACGGAGTCACGCTGCCCTGCCACACTGTCCAGGCTCCTCGCCAAGCTCCTAACCCAGAGCTCCTGCCTCACAGAAGCCAGTGTTGGAGTTTCCAGCCCATTCCCCCATCCCCGCTTGCCACCTCCCATCCCACCCCTGCTAGGCAGGGGGCCTCCCTCCCAAGGTCTCACCGGAAGGGACTGTAGGCATCGATCTCTTCCAGGATGATGGGCTCAGCTCCCCCAGATCGCCCATCCGGGGGCAGCACCTTCAGCACGGTGCCATCATTGGAGCCAAGGAACATGACTGTGGTGTTGCTGTGGGGACCGGCCATGCCATCCACAGCTACCTGGGTCAGGAGGGCCCTGGAGGAACAGGCGTCAAGTCAGGGCAGCCCGTCTAGGGGAAGCCTGGATCCTCAAGAGAGCCTGAATGTCCTGGCGTCCATGCCTGTGCCCTCCACCACACCCCGGGCCGCCTCCTCAGCTTGCTCTCCCCTTTCTGCTTCCACAGGCTCTTCCTCCCCCCAGTGTGATTTTCCTTGTGGGGTCAGAGAAAGAGAAGGTGGCTGAGGGCAGGAGGGCGGTGGCCGGTGGCTCTTACCCCGTACCTGCTAGTGAGAGTGAGGAGAGGCTGGTGGGTGGCGGGGGGCACTGCGGGGTCCAGCAGAGGGTGAGCTTTGATGAAGGTCAGGACGTCATCAGGGAGGTCTCGAGAAGAGGAGAACGAGGCAGCTCCGCCTACACCCGCACAGGTGCCTGGCCTGGTGGGCACGCGGCAAGGGGCTGCCTTAGGGCAGGGAGCCGGCTTACTTAAGCTCTGTGCCCCGTGGCTCCCACACATGACTGGTAAGCCCAGCACCCCCTCCACAGACACACAGCGCTGCCTCCCTCCCTGGTGCAGCTCTCCGGGCCCACGGCCAGCTCACCACAGCTCCCTCCCGGGCCTCGGGCATCTTACCCCCTCTCCATCTTGGGAGCAGACATAAAAGCCACCCCCATTCTAAGTACCTGGGTGAGGGGACCCTGTCCTCAGACACGGGGGTCCAGGCCCCATCCAGACTCCTCTGCTCCTTGAACTTGCCCTCAAACCCACGCTCAATATCATCTAGGTAGAAGGCGCAGACCGCAGAGCCAGGGATGCTGGGGAGCCAGAAAACAGGCAGCAGAGGTGTTCAGCAGAGCTGCCCAATTCCTGGGGGAGATGTGGGAGGTCGAGACTGGGGGGGGGGTTGGACAACCATTTGGTGCCATGCTAGAAGGAGAAAAGGTGGGCAGGACAGCACACAGGCTTTCTTTGGAGCTTGCCCTCACTGCCCATCGGCAGGCGTCGAGAGGTGAGTCTGCATGCCGGTGAGGCAGGGGGACAGATCGGGTCACACCAGGCAACCTAGTACCAACCTATTGGTCTGCGTGGTGAAGACCCCAAAGAGAGCAGAGCGACCATGCAGGTGCACAGGCCCAGCCAAAGCCTGTAAGACGTCAAAATAGAAGGTCGAGTCCCCCGGGACCGAGCAGTTGAGGCGCAGCTTCAGGAAGGATGTCCAATGGCGGTCCAAGGCCCGCGGCGAGCCACCCATGTCACGTTTGCACACGCGGGCTACGCGGGAGAACTGCACCTGGGGCAGAAAGTGTGGAGGAGCTCAGTGGGAGAGACCACAGGGCTGGCAGGTGAGAGGCGCGTGGGGAGGTGCAAGCACGAGCACAGACCGACGCGAGGGGCGCAGCAGCCGAGGGTTGCCGCAGGATGTGGGGGCAGAGGGCTGGGGACCATCCCAAATTAGGGGCTCAGAGTCCAAGGGAGTGTGCCGTGGAGACCAGAGTCAGGAGCTCCCCTCCACCTCAGCCTGGCTCCCTGGGATCCAGCAGAGCCCTCCAGTCACCCACCCCGGTGCCCACCTCCTTACCCTCCCCAGCCGCGCATCCTCCACGGAGACCTCGCGGAAGAAGAAGTAGACGTGGTCTCCGTGCTCCAAGGCATGGACAAAGTGCGGCTCTGAGGTGGGGAGGGACAGGAGAGGGTAGGAGAGTATGGACACCTGCCTCGAGGCTCCTGGCCTCACCCCCCCATTGCACATGCGGCCATGCCATCAGCCCGCTCCCCACCACGATCCTCCCTCTGCGCCTCCACCCCAAGACGGGTCCCTCCCCCGGCCCCGCCCTGACCTCGGAGCCACTTGGAGTCGTACTTGGCGGAGCGGAGCGGGGGCTGAGGCCCAAGGCTTCTGTAAACTACAGCATCGCTGGCCTGGAAATCCGCAGCTGTGGCCGAGTACAGGCTGCCCTCTGGAGGGGTGGGAAGGGCGGGCTCAGGAGAGGGCTCGGAGACCTGCATTCTGCCTCTTCTGGGGCCTCCCGCACCTCCGCCGAGCCCTGGCCCCTACCTCAACCCTCCACTCAGGGGCAGGGGGGAAAGACCAAGCTGGGAGGGGAGCCAAGGTAGGCAGGCGCTCCCTCCAGCCACATGCCTGCTTTTCACACGCCCGGGTGCACACCTGCAAAGACGGCCACGTTGGACTGGGTGGCATCAAAGGGGCATCGAGCCTGCCCACTCAGCTCCTCACCCTCTTGCTGCAGCGAAGTTATCTGGGGGCAGAGGGAGCAGGTTCCTGGAACCCGTGGGGCCTTGGGGTCTGTGCCACAGCCCATTCCCTGTCCCCTTGCGCCCTTCCCCACCCCTTCTGGGCCCCTGCATTCTGGGCACTTCCCTCCCCAACCCCAGTTCCTAGCCCCTTCCCCGCAAACTGCCCATCTTGAGTTCTCCCTCAACTCCCATCCCGACTTCACCCTCTCCTTTGTACCCCATAGCTGCGGCACACGGGGCTGAAGGAGTTCGTTCCACAGGCAAGGAGGGTCTGGGAGTCCCAGGGAACCAGAACACGGATGTAGTTGTAGCACTCGTCCTAGAGAACCCAAAATCTCAGGTCAGCAATAGGGGCCCTGGGCCTGGGACCGGGGATGACAGGAAAGGAGGGCAACTCCTCTGGAGCCACCAGAGCCACATGGGATGAAGTCCCAGCTAAGCCATCTGCTAGCCCTGCAGCCTCAGGTACGGCCTTCAGTCTCCCTGGACCTCACTTTTCTGTGAGGCATGTAGGGAAACCAAGACGCGTTCATTCTCCTTCCTTCCCATTTTCCTCTGTGGCCGGGGATGGGGCACAGGAGAGGACCCCGCGGACAGAGCCCGGCGCCGGGCAAGCCTCTCCTTGCCTCCAGAGCCCCCTTCCAATCCTCACCGTCAGCTTTCCCCGGACAGCACAGTTCTCCACAGCTTGGCTCCTCCATGTCAGATACTGAAGAGGGAAGCAGAAGAGGGAGACTCATGGGGCGCCCTGGGCCCCGCCCCACATGGCTCCACTGGGATTCTTCCCACCCGCCGGAACTGTTAGGCCTTTCCCAACTTCATCGCCATGCGTGCACCTCCTCCGCAGAGCCCCTCACCTTGGTGGGCACCAGCCCCTCTCCTTCTCCTTGGGCTTGAAGATCGAAGGAGAAAACGTGATCCCTGAAGGGGCAGGGAAGAAGGGATCAGAGCCCAGGCCAGGCACCCCCCCGAGCTCCTCAGCCCCACCTTACCCACAGCCAGCTGTTAGTGACAGCCAGTGCAGACCTCTGCCCTCTACGCTCCCCCCTTACTCCATGCCTTGGCATTTGTGCTCTGGGTCCAAGCATGTCCATGTCCCATGGCTTGTGCACCTGCATGTGTCCCCTGCAAGATGCTGCAGTGGCCATGCAGGTCCCATGTCTGCCCCGGAGCATGCATGTCTGCCCCATAACTGTGCCACGGCCAGTTTACCGGGCAGCCACTAGCAAGGTCCGGTTCAAGGTCAGGAATCTCTGAAAGTCCAGCCCAAGTTCTGCAGCTACAGCATCATCCTCCAGGCCCCGGAACCAGGACAAGGGGGAAGTACCTGGAAGACACAGAGAGGTGGGGTGCTGAGGGTCAGCCCAGACACTGTACACCTCTCCAACCAGATGAAACCCAGCCATGGACAGAGTGTGCATGCGAGGCTAGCGGTGCCCAAAAGTATCAATATTAGTAAACATAATACCAATAACACAGCACTTAACCTCTGTCAAGCACTTTAAATGCATTGTCTCATTTACTGCTTCAACCCGATGCAGAAACATTGGCCCATTTTGCAGATAAGAAACCTGAGGTGTGAAGCCATTAGGGAATTTATATAAGCTCACTTATCTTGGAAGTGTCAAGCAGAGGATTGAGATCCAGTTCTGCCCCAGAGCTGAGCCCGGTTCCTTTTTGGAACTGCCTTAGGGCTAGCAATTTCCTTCCATGCCCGTCTGTGCACTGCCCCATCTCTCCCAGCCCTCTCTGCATCTGCACCCTCCCCTCCAGGCTCGTCACAGGCCACCTCAGCTTTCTAAGATTTCTGCCTCCACTGGCCACCTCCAGCTTCCACGCGGCCTGATCTGGAAACCACAGTCATCAGTGGTCACAGGGAGCCCAGAGTTCACGGAAAGATGATTTAACATTCAGCCTGTGCTTAGAACCACTTCTGGCACATGCAAGTGTTTGCTATTCTTATCTGTCCCTCAACAATTACTCCCAATAACCCAACTGCAGTTTCCCCATCCTTAAAATTACTCTAAATCTTACATATAAACAGGAAATGAAATAGATAAAGGTTCTTCTCAGAAAAAGCGGGTTTATGGAGGGAGGTGAGAGGTCGGGAACCACTGACTAGTCCCAGGCCTTCATTTTGTAGCTAAGAATAATAGCAAACACATATAAAGTGCTTACTTTGTGCCAGATAATGTTCTCAGCACTTTACATGTATTACTTCATTTAATCTCTAAATCACTGCATGAGGTAGAATGCTTTTTTTTTTTTTTTTTTGAGTTGGAG